CTGAAAACAGGCTTTCTAGAGTCTTCATCACGCATTACCCTTTAATTAATGTTATTAGAATTCCAAATACTAGTTTGCACTTTGAATTTAAACATCTCCCACCCCCCAGCATTCATGTCTAGAACTAGGTACACTCAAAGAATTGCAGGTCAAGCTGAAATCCCTTTGAAAATTCAGCCTTTTGTGAAGAAAAAGTTGATGGTTATTGACAAAATGTTGCAGTCTACCTTGTTACTATTCATGATTAAGGAAAGTAAATATTGTCTGAGGTCTAATGAGAATTCCAATGCAATAAAGTCAAGTGTGAAAGGTGCAATCAATAAGTGATGATGCAACAGTATTCGTTTGCAGTTTTGTTATTGTTTAGTTCATGGTATTTGGTGATGCTTGAAAATGAAGTGTTAAGAAATTAGTGTTACAAGGATTAACATTCAGATTTTATTTCTGATACTGTTATGTTTCTACAGTCATTACATTCTGAACACTAATTAACATCTGATTTCTTTTCCCACTAGTTAAGGACTGCAAACCAAAGAATTCTAGAACAAAAATACTATGGAAATAAACATCAATATTATCCATGAACATCACAAATTAAAACCCATGATGTCCATGGCTAATTTTACACTGCAGGAGAAAATACTGCAATGAAGAACTGTATTTTCCTCATTTTTTGTGTTAGCGACTATGCTTCAAAGTATATCAAGTTTACGAAGAAAGTATCTTTTCAAATGTATAACAGATCTCAGAGTCTAAGCTGGAACACTTACGTCCTACATATGGCAGGGCTATTCACCAAGGGTTCAGTTTTGGATTTACTACAAGTCTTGGATATAAAGAAGCATACCGCCCTATGAAAAAGTCAAGGACTAAATCTCAGTTACTCAGTTATTTCTGCAAGGAAGCCAATCTCTTCTTGTCCTTCATCAGACTGATTAATTTCTCTCCGTTTGGGCTCAACTGGATTGGCAGGCACATAGACATTGGTCTCTGTCACTGTGCCATGGCATGGGATGCCGGCACCTTGTGTCAGAAACTGAAGGGACGATTTCCATCCCACCCTCTTCTCTGCAGGCATGTTGTGCAAGCGACAATTTGTGCCGGCACATCATGTAGCCTGAAGATACTGAAATTATGTTTGAATATTATTTGCAACTCTGTATTTTCTGAAGAAGCCACATAAAAATTTAGCTATACAAACTTCAGTGGATCTTCACTGAATATGTTCACAATGAACAACTTTATGGTTCTGAATATTCTGCTTTATTAACTCCCCTGGCACGTAATCTTTAGATTACAGAGCAAGACTTAGGACACGGATAGAAAACAAGGGCCAATTCTGTTCTAAAATATTAGGTTACATGTCTGTGTTAAGGTGACACGGGTTTTGAAGTCAGCTAGGAGTATTTGGCATAAATCCCATCCAAAGGGCCATTACAGGCCAAACGAGACACCTCTCAAAGCTGCTGTTGATTGTGTATGGTGAAAGATTCCATGCATTTCATAAGGCAGCTCTACAGTTCTTCACGCATTGCTAAAAGCAATAATTACTTTGAAACATTATTTATGTCTCCCATAATGTGACTGCTTTATAAATTCACGAAGTAAATGGATCATGTAGCTAAACTTAACATTCGTATTTAACATATTACAGAAGCAATAAAAAATCCCTTCACAGAATATAACCCATCCAGACCAAGAAGATTCTCTAATCCATGCAAAAATTATTTTCTTACAAGTAGTTTCAATGGAATTAGGTGGGAATTAGCTGTGACACTGTAAAAAGAATGACAAATCTCTTTTATATCACAATTCTTGTTATCAAAATGTATTTTTTGCAGAGTCACAGAAATGACTTGACTCCCAGTCACATAAGTGAGATCTCTTGACCTATTGCAAATGACACGGCACACTAGCAGTGCCTTTAACTTTTGGCAGCTTCTTTGTTTACTTTTGTTTAGAAACAGCTACGTAAGAAACCTAGTTCTGCATGAATACAGTATAATGTGGCCCCAACATGTACACAGCCAAATGAAAGATAATTATGGGAAATAAAACATGATGTTTCAAATCGGCTCCCTAATAAAGTCTAAAAATATAAGAAACCCTATCGTATTAACCAGCAAGAACTGCTCTTTCACTTAAGGGATAGTTGGGTAATTATTCAAACCTGTACAAGACTGGATTGTCAAGTGAAATAATAATACAGAGTATCTCAGGATAATGAGATAGATCTTAAGGCCATTAGCAGTGGCTCTTATTATAATACTGGGCAAGGTTTCCCAAGAAAGAGAGAGAATATTTAAATGAAACTTGTAGAGAACTAGTTTGAACTTGTATATTTGAACAGCTCAGTACTGTCTCATAGTTTCCATTCCTTCCCGGAGAGGAAGGTGCCTATCATGTAAGACTGTGAAATCAGTCAGGTTTTAGAGACTGAAATCCCTGAGGGAAGAAATTAAAACAAAAAATGATTTGAAAATTGAGCCACACTGAAATCCATACAGTTTATATTAAGAATCTTATCCTAGCAAGTTTTTAAGGCCTGGTTAGACACCCAGTTGACTTCTCTTTCCTGATTCTTTCTCTCATTCAAAACAACCAAACCCAACATATATCTTCTCTGACTAGGTTTGACAAGGAGAATTATAGCTTTAGAAGTAAGGGCTTTTAAGACTGGAAATGGAGGAAGAGATGACTTTTTCTCTATAAAATACGTCCTGTTTATGAGACATTTGTACATGCATGCTTCGTTATCTTATGTTTGTTTGTTTTTAATCACCACAGGAACAGGTATAACTCAATAGCTGAACGTCATAGAGAAGCTAGCTAATCCCTGGGAAAACAGTTGTCTGGATTGCAGTTTATAAGGTACAGCATGGCTAATGCGTCAGCAGTTGTCATGGATTAGAAATACTGCTTGTTTTAATACTCTCCTTACGAGCCCCTCCTAGGTACGAAGGTTTCCAAACACCAGACCAGAGCCAGGTCTGGCATGCCTGGCATGCTCCAGTGAGGAGCTCTCCTCCTCACCGCAATGGCACCTCACCTCCTCGGCTGACTGCGCTCAGCGGCGCTCGGACAGTTAGACTTGACCAGGGTTTACAGCAGTTGAAGCAAGAACGCTGATTAAGACTTTGCAAATCAAATATTAAAGGACTGATTAAATATTTTACGATCTTTTTACTTAGGCTCTGATTTGAAGTTTACTTCATCTGCTAGCCAGAGATATGCTGAAGGTTAATTGATGGAGGAAGAGTAAATAACAGCTGATGCTACTGGCCCTAAGTATGCAAGGCATTTAAGAGTATTCCTAACCTCAAGTGTGCAGTCACTGACATGCTCATTTGTCTCACTAGGTTAGTGTCACTGAGGCTCAGATATGTGATCAAATTACCACAGTGAAAGTGGTTTAAGCTTATGTGGTTTTCCTTGTATTGTATATTCGCACGTCTCCAATGACACCAAGTAATCCTTTAAATTGTGTTAATTTGATCATGTATCTGAGTACCCAGTCCAGTAAATTGGGACAGGTGGCTATGAAAAGTGGAGATGATGCCTTTTGGAAGACAAATAGCTTCCACGGAGAAGAGAGACATCCAGCAGAACCAATATAGCTCAGGCTACCAGGATTAGAGTATAAATCTCTCCCCTTTCTCCTCCTACAAAATCAAGGGTTTGCAACTTAAAAACCTGACCTGACAAATTGCTTTTGTGGATTTTGATTTTTTTTTAAAGGAGAAGAATTAACAAAACTCTTATAAAGCAATTGTTGGTGAATTTTTTGCTACCTGACTGGGCCAGTATCACTTAAAGCCCACCTAGATCTTCAAGAAAAATTCAGAAGCTCACCATCCAGCAAGCATTCTCATCATATTTGGTGCTCGGAGTCGAAAATTTAAAAGCAGTCCAAATATTTAGCTTTGGAAAAGTACTTTCACTTTTACTTAACGCCTTTTCAAGAGACATTTGGTAAGGATTTGCACATACCAAAGTACAATTTATGTAATGAGTAAGAAGAGTTATTGGACTAATCATTTTTAACAGAGATTCCTTGTCTTTAATACAGAGCTGCACAATAGAACTTAATAGCTTGTGGCAAGTAAATAATTTACACATGGATTGCGTCTGAATACAAATGTATACATAAAATATCACAGACTTAATGAAGCCTTTGGGGTGTTTTTTTTAAAATCAATTTAATTGATTTTGCTGATAGGTCCGCATTTATATTTTTGTAAGCTACATTTCGCTTTACCTGCACATGTGGCACAGTCATGATTTTTAAGGGAGGTAGGGAAAACTCTGCAAATGAAATTAGAAACTAAGTACACAAAGCGTAGGTATTTTTGAAGTGTCTAGGGCAAGACACTCGGAAATAACACTCCAATGTGACCCAACAGTGTGGCTCATTTAGAAAACACTTATCAGAAAAGGTCAACCTCTCAGGAACGCTCATGACTATTCAGGGTGTTTTGCAGCATTTGAGCCCAATGAAGCTGGTAATTAAGAGTTTTCCCCTTAACGCTGAACGTTTTGGGCTGTTCAGCTTCAGTCAGCAGGGTTACTTGCATTTGGCTTGGGCTCCTACTAGAGGGGGAAGAAGACAACGGTTGAAGAAGAAGGTTAGCGTTGTGACTAATGCACAACCAAAGCCAGAAGGAAAGTGGCTGGATGGAAACATGGGTGTGTGTTTCAAAGGGAGAGGCACGGGATGATGGCTGCTTTACCATCGGGAGCACCAGCTTCTGGTGGGCCCAAAAGCTGTTTTTCACTACAAAATACGCCCACAGCTCATCCTCTCTCTTTCTAATGCACTGCTTTTTGTTGTCATTAACTCATAAAAGCTATGCATTAAAGGAAAGCACGGAGACAGATGCTGGAGCTGGGGTGGCGGGCCCGAAGAGAGCAGCAGGGAGTCCCGGGGGTCCGCCGCCATCCTCGGTCCCGCCGCCCGCCCCTGCCTGCGTGCCCCGCGGGGCCGAGCCGGCCTGCCTTACCTTTGGGGTGCCAGGGGTCCGTGAACTCGTACTTCCCCACGCCGATTGTCCGCAGCATCTGCACCCGTTGCCCACCGCCCCGGGGCCCGGGTGGGCCACCGGGCCCACGCCGCTCATGGAGGACATGCTGAGGGGCTGGCTGTTGGGGTACAAGGGCTGGCTCTGGAGGTTGACCACCATGTTGCTGAGGGGCTGGGAGGGCTGTGGCTGGAGCTGGTAGTGGGCCGGCATCAGCGGGAGCTGGGGGGTGACGTGCGGAGGGAGGGAGGGCGTGACGCCGATGACGGGGGCCTGGACGTTGGCGGCCGGGCTGAAGGTGGGTGGCTGCGTCATCCCGTAGGAGTGCGTGATCAGGGCGGGCTGGCTGCCTGCTGCCACCGTGGTGACCCAGGGTGCTGCACCTGCGGCACGAAGGAAGGTCAGCAATGGCGGTGGGCTTGGCACGGGGGAAACCAGAACAAAAATCCCCCGCTCCCGCCTTCCTCTCCTGCACACGCGTCCGCTACCGAATTGCGCCGACGCGCCCTTCTCCTTCCCGATCTAAAGCG